ATCTATCAAGATTCTTCTTGGTTTGATGTCTTTGCAGCATACATACTTTCCCAAACCTCAAACTTTTCAACATATAAGTTCATTTTTGAGTGAACGTGTTGCTAGATCTATGAACCTGTCTAATATACAAAGTTTAAAATATTATCATATACTTTTCAAAAAATGGATTAGTCTGTCAATAGGCAAGGCATAGCCAGAACACCATGAGCTTTCAAGTCAGGCTTATAGGATGGATAGAAATCTTAACTACCTATTGTTGACTAACTAGAGAATCTAACATAATTTTTCTGAGATTTGCCTTTCTCATCTATAAAATTCAGATAAAAGTTTTAAAAATTGGTAAGGTGGTTGTTAGGACATAATATAAAAGCCTTAATACAATCCTAACCAAGTACTAAAAAATGGGAGTTTAGTATTATGGGTAGTAATAATGATATGAAAAATATTGTTCCCATAAACAGAAGATACTTTGTGGATGTGAATCACTTCGGATATTATAAACTTTTCAAGAAACCACAATCAATCAAATGATTTTATGTTCTCATAAAATCATAAAACTGGAGAGAATCCAATCCCCTCACCTTCAGTAATAATTCTGATAATTAATGGACTTTTTTTGGTACCTCAGAGAAATCCAGAACTTTAAGGGTGGAAAAAAATTAGCTTTTTTTTCACTTTTGGAAAGTTGACATTTAGCCTTGTAACTGAATGATCAGGAAAAATGTAATTATGTTGAATTTATAGAAAAAAGTAATAGATTTGCCTTTTCTGAATGATGAATAGATCAGCACCTCTATTCAGTATTTTTTAAACAAACTTACAATAACTAATGCAAGTATTAATTAATAACTAATGCAAGTATTAATTTGCAAATATTCCATTTCAAAATTGTATTGCTTCTACCTTGTCTGCAAGACAATTGATAAAACAGGCTAAAATATCAATGTTTCTTACTTTATGTATATAAATCTCAATAATTACCTTGATTGGTTCTCAGTGCAAAAACACCATGGCTTTATCACAGATGGTCATAATTAACCTCAAATTAAATATTTTATTACAGATGGGGCCATAGACCAACACCTAAAAAGAAGATAAGAATAATCTAAAGTACATGAAATTATTCACATTATAGCCTTAGATTATAGGTACAAAAAAGAACCCCAGAATCTTATGGTTTGGCTATATTTTTTTTTTTCAGAAAGAAAAAACATCCAGATGTCTAGAAAGAAGTTGCAATTATAAATAAAAGAGATAAAATAAAAAATTTAAAATAATAATTATAAAGATATTCAATTCAAAGCCGTACACTGAAGATAATTATATACTTAAATTCATTCTAATCATAGTCTTGTTTTAGGGACACAATTTTTTTTTTTCTTTAATTGATGAACTCGTATTTCTCCTAGTATCCTGATCAACATTCAAGAAAGTGAAAGCCTGGTGGGGTGCAGTGGCTCAAATCTGTAATCATTGCACTGTGGAAAACTGAAGCTGGGTGGATGGGATCATTTGAGATCAGAAGTCCAAGCCCAGCCTGAGAAAGAGCAATTAAAAAAACTGAAAAAAATTAGTTGGGCCTGTAGTCCCAGGTACTCAGGAATCTAAGGCTGTAGGATTGCTTGAACACAGGAGCTTGAGGTTGCTGTGAGCTAGATTGATGCCATAGCATTCTAGCCTGGGCAGCAGAGTTAGACTCTGTCTTAAAAAAAAAAAGAAAGAAAGAAAAGAAAAAAGAAAAGAAAAGAAAAGAGAAAAAGGAAAGTAGGAAGGGAGGAAAAAAGGAAGGAAGGGAGGGAGGGAAGGAGGGGAAGAAAAGGAAACAAAAGAAAAACAAAGTGAAAACCACCTAGAAAGGGGGCAGGTGAGTTTAATGTGTCAAAATGTTATTCCAGATAGAAATTAGATAAAACCTGTCCTCCAGCCCCAGCCAAATGTGGACAGTAAAATATAACAGAAGTTGAGGAAGCAACCTGAGGACTATTTCTCTTGATTTCATTTATTGGGGTTCAAATTTCAGATGAAAGATTTGTTAGACGTGTTGGGTAAAAACAATGGGATATTTTGCCCTGGCTTCCATTTTGAACTCTGAGCATAATCCCCCTCTGTAGGGAGCTCTGTGGCAACCTGGGGGCACAGAGAATGCAGGGTACAATTGAGTGACGAGACAGCTTGAGGTACCAATTCTTGCCCAGCTTGGTTCCTATGTGGCATAAAAATGAACCATAAGATCCACGTTCCCCATGAGAACTGATTAATGGGGTGGTTGTGAAGGTGCTCACAAAGAGGCGATATAAGCATTCTTTTATAAGTGATAGGGTGGGCCACTGAAGCTGAAGATTTAAGGGGAAACACAGCCATACACTCAAGTGAAGCAATGCCAGGGAGAGCTGACTGATTCAGGTAGGCAAGATGGTCAACTCACTGGGTTGTCCCTTCAGCATGGAATCTGAATACTACCATTAGCAAACATCAGCATATCAGCCATGAAGAAGGCCAGAAAAAGATTCTGGAAGTTTTCATTCAGAATACACACACACTCACACACACACACACACACAAGTAATGGATAGAGTCGCCTTCCCCTACTCCCTGCATTCTTCCTCCAAATCCCTGATAATCATATGCTTTCTCCTGGAACCAGCCTTCACCTGGAAAAGAAAAAAGAGGAGAACAGCCTCAGCACAGTCAAGGAATTTGCCTTTGAGGTGAGAAAATATTGATCAAATGATACTATTAATATGTAAATCAAGACAGACTGAGATACCATTAATTGATACCTAAAGTATCATTCTAGCTTACTGCCTCCTGGCTATGTGGAAGATTAAATTGCTGAAGCTAAAAATGTTGTTTTTTACTTGTTCAGTTGAGTTTTATGAGCAAATTTTTACCCAACTAAACTATAATATTTTATGCTTCGATTTAAATGGATACCTTACGACAGCAGGGAATTGGACATAATCTGTCTTTAACTGTTAAAATTGCTAATAAATACAAAAATATCTTAAACATTTTAATATCTGTCTGAAAAAAAGCACGTGAAAATATAGAAACAACAAACTAAAAAAATAAGGAAGTCAGCCAAAACAGAAAGCAGAGACTCCATAATTTCTTCACTTCATAAACGTTATCATTTAGTTCTGGATATTATAAAAACATTAAAAATACTTATTAAAAACAATTAAGCACTATTGATTGGAAAAGAAATTACTAAACTTATCATCACCATGAAAATAAATAAAGATAATAATTATAATTTTTTTTAGCTTAAGGAATTCACAAGACAAGTAACCAAATTACTTTTCCAAATTATTTATGTACCTCCTATGTGCTAAGCAGACTATTGGGCCAGCTAGTGATTACAAATTACAACGCTGAACAGAATGTAGACTTAGACTGTGAAGGACTGATATTCTGGAAGGGAAGGAAGGCACGCTGACTTGTGATTAGAGAGATGTGGAAAGGTAATACAAAGAGCCATTACAGAGAAACTCAATAGAATATACAGTCAGAAGCCCCTGATCAGGAATGTTAGGGAAAATCTTAGGAAAAGGGAATCTGGGGTTGAATTTTGAGAGCAAAAATCAAGATCCTCATGAACGTTAGGGTAGAAAAGACACCCCATGTATAAGGGCTAGTTTGAGCAAAGTAGATACATTTTGAGAAGAGTATGTCAAAACCTCTGTTGCATTTGGCCATAAAAACATTCAACTCCAATTCTAAGTAATTTTAAATAAAAAAATCTTTATGTTTCAACCATAAGAAATAGACTTGTTGAACTCTTGCAGACTGAATTATTTAAGACACTAAAGATGTTATTGAATAGGAAAGTGACTGTTCATATAATTTTTCCCCTAAGGGTTTCTCAGTCATTCATGATGCGTAAATATGTTGCTCAAATTATTCTTAAATTAAACTTTGATCTCTGTAGTTTGTTATTTCATGACTGATAAATTGAATTTGACATTCCTAACATCAATTACAATTTCATATGAGCTTAGTTTTACTTGGTCAAATGGCATTATAATCTATTTAATATTGAATCAATTTTCTGGCTGACTAGTGAAAACTTCTAAAAACACAAACTATTTTGCCCAATCTTAAAGGTCTAGGTTTTTAATGATAGGATACTATTTACAATTATTGTGTTTTAGTTAAACTTTGAACAATCTACTAATGTTTCACTAGAGGTTTTCTGTTGTCTGCTCCGGTCTGAATTTTCTTCCAGTTAACCTTCAAAAAAATTACCTTACTATTGTCTATCATGCCTCCATGTTGCCAAGCCCAGTGACCCAGTGACAATTGTCAGGATGTGTCATTGGACATTTCTTCAGCAGTTAATCTTGCTATCCTTCTTTAAATATTTTATACATACAGGGTGTCTATAAAGTTCATGTATTTGAAATTGCACATGAACTTGATGGATGCCCTGTATTATATATAATAAAATTATATACATGTATATTAATTTTATTGTTATGCATATTATTTTCATTATATATAGTAAAATAATTTTATATGTCTATTAATTTTATTATAGATGTGGGTCATTATGAAAGTTTTGAGATACACAAAAATCAAGGAATGTAAAATCCACTCAGATAGAAACCAATGAAGCCCTCCCAGCAACACCAATAAGCTGAGCCAGCCAAAGTTTGCACAGGCAAATCAAAAAGGACACTGCTGACTATTTCTTGGAAGTAAAATAATGGACCATTACACAGTGTCTCAAAACTTTTGTAGTGACCTATGTATAATATAATATTTTTTTCTGTCTTCTTTCTTAGAATATAAGTTCCAAGAAAGAAAGACTGTGCTACCCACTCTTAGAATAGCTGAATGTCTGATGGATTGAATGAAGAAATGAATTCATAATGCTACCTCCCTCTCTTGAATCTTTTCTTCATCTGCCTGATTTCCTTTGTGTAACTGTATCGTTGAAAGCCTAGCATTAATAAGTCCAATCTTACACCTTGAGAGTCAGGCAACTTACAAGAAAGATGGGTAAAGTCATTGACAGCACAGTTAGTTTTTATGTGACATGTCATAGTAGTGATACTGCTATAGAAAGAATGACCTGGTTGCACGCTTTTGGAATGACTATTGAAGTAATGCCCACTTTACAAAGAGAGATTGCAAGGAAGTTTTTGCCTCAAGGTAGGATAGTTAATTGTAAAGAAGAATTTTAATGAAATAAGATGGGCTAATAGAAATTTTGAAGTTTTTAAGATTAAAAAATTAGTTATTATGTTCTCAGAGTGCTGAGGGACATTTTTAAAGTGTTCAATAACAAATGTTGAAGTCACTAGCTTGTACGGATCTACAAAATACAAGTATCTGGAAAAAATAAACCATTTCCATATCCTGGGAGCATGCAGGAACTTTTATGCCTTGGGCAGAAAGGAATTGCTATAGAATATGTTTATCATCTTATTAGTAAGAGAACCTTCAGTATTAACTGAAAAAAAATTCTGAAAATTAAATGTCTAAAAGATGTTATATCTCACATAAAGTAACTCCAGAACTATGACAATATTTGGTTACCATTGTCTGTGAAACTGACAGAAAGATTAACAGAGTTTTTTTTTCCTATACATCATTATCAAAAAGAATGAGGAATTAGAGAAATTATAACAAAATTACAGGCTTTCAGGAAGCAGAAATAAACACAAAGATTTCTTGTGTAACCTTATTTGGATACCAGTGATAATCAATTTTCTTATACTATAACTTTTTTTTAAACTCTAAGTATCTTCATCTTTATTATGTATTTTTATTTATTTATTTATTTATTTATGCAGGTTTTTGGCCGGAGCTGGGTTTGAACCCACCACCTCCGGCATATGGGGCCAGTGCCCTCCTCCTTTGATCCACAGGCACCGCCCTTGTACTATAACTTTTAAGAATACCTGCAGATCATCATTTATTTTGCAAAATTTCAAACTACCTATTTTTTATAACTGACATGATTTGAAACACTTTATCCACTTTGAGGTCATCATCCATAGCTTATGTCATGTAAGAGAAAGTGAATCAGCCATGTGGTCCCTTATAAAAAAAATATAGAAAGAGAATATTCCTAAGTTTGAATGTGCACATGAGTCTGTCTGTGTCACCACTTATCTTCTTCTTTTTGCTGAATTGCAAACATATAATATTCACAAAGACACTAAACTTTAAGTAAATGAACTCATCATGATTTTGGCATGTGAGAAGCCGTGTTTGACCGCAGCAATTTTCCTGAGTACATCTTCTTAAATCTTTTTTCCCTTCATGTATGTTTCATTTTTCCTAAAAGTTTCAAGACTAAATAAAGTCTGCCTTTTATTGAGTTTATTATAATTTGGTATATAAATTAAGCGGTAAACTAGGCACGATTTTCGGATGCTCAATTAAGAAAGATTACATTTCTGCTCTCTACTCTCTCTCTCTCCTCTTCCCCACTCTCTCCTTAGCTCTCTCCCCTCTTCTCTCTTCTCCTTTCTCTCCTCCTCGGTGCTGCTCTGCAGCCTCCCTCCTCTCACCAATAAAGACCTTTCGTTCAAGCCTCGGTGGTCTGAGATCTCTGCCGGTCCAAGTGCCTCTCTTTCACTTTTTCCAGTTGAAACAGAAAAAGCCATGTGACTGTGCTCAGCTTAGAAATCTCCCAGATCCGTGCAGTTGGCAGGCTAAAAAGAGAGCGTTCTATGAGTGAAAATGCTGTTCGCCAAAATGGACAGCTGGTCAGAAATGATTCTATGTGGCACAGATCAGATTCTGCCCCAAGAAATAAAATTTCAAGGTTCCAGGCACTGATTTCTGCACCGGAGTACACACTTGTGTTGCGTGGTGGGTCTGCCGCCGCCACTTCTAACCCTCATCATGACAACGTCATGTATGGCATTTCAAACATATATGCAACAATTGAAGGAACATCAGATGACATGACTGTTGTAGATGCAGCTTCATTAAGACGACAGATAATCAAACTAAATAGACGTCTACAACTTCTAGAAGAGGAGAACAAAGAACGTGCTAAAAGAGAAATGGTCATGTATTCAATTACTGTACCATTCTGGCTGCTTAATAGCTGGCTCTGGTTTCGCCGCTAGAGGTAACATCAGCTCTCAAACATATTGTCTCAACGGCAGAAATATAAAAGATTTTCAAACTTCAAAAAAAAAAAAAAAAGAAAGAAAGATTACATTTCTAAGACATCCTACTGTCTTGAAGAAATCTAGTTTGCACAGAGATAATAATGGATTCCTCTGGCCACATTCTGCTAAGTGATGCAAAACAACAAAACTTTAACATCTAGATATTAGCGTGAAATTAGAGGAAATATAGGACGCAACCATGGAATGTACAAGAGTAAATGTGTCTCTTTTATAACATATGCCATTTTTTAGTATAGGCTTTTTAAAACAGAAATGTTTATTCTAAGTGTAATAGGCGGCTATCAAAGTGTTCAGATATAACACATTTTCGTTTAATGAAGAATTTATTCCTCAGTGAGTTGACAAGACTTTTATTTGTGAGGGCTTATCAAGAGGCTGTTCCTTCCTTGATATAACACAGAGTTTACATTGCAGGGCCAGGCAGCTTTTAGTGGATGATTACACTAATTTGTTCTTTCTAGCTCTCCATGGAAGGCTTTGATATTGTGGAGCTGCACTGGCTGCCATAGGGAAACTTTTGAGACTCTCTGCTACAAAATGTTCTTTGGATGAAAGCGACACCCCCAGAAAAGGATTTTTAAATCCCTTTTTAAACATTTTCTGCTGGCTGTTAATGCTACATTCATCGTTTTGTCTCTGTATTATATGTAATGCACTTTAATGGATATTTCTATGAGTGGTTTTAACACCTGTGTCCTCACAGATTAACATATTTTCCTAATTCATATGCTCTAAATTTTCTTTTCTTTTTCTTTTTTTTTTTTAGATAGAGCCTCAAGCTGTCCCCCTGGGTAGAATGCCCTGGCATCACAGCTCACAGCAACCTCCAACTCCTGGGCTCAAGCAAGTTTCCTGCATCAGCCTCCCAAGTAGCTGGGACCACAGGCGCCTGCCACAATGCCCGGCTATTTTTTGGTTGCAGCCTTCACTGTTGTTTGGCGGGCCGGGCTGGATTTGAACCCGCCACCTTAGGTGTACGTGGCTGGCGCCTTAGCCACTTGAGCCACAGGCTCCAAGCTAAATTTTCCATTGTTTTCCAGTACAGTTTTAGGTTGGTTTGTACAGTCTCAAAAATTGTCTCACCGGTTTAATCTTTTTTTTTTTTTAACATTATGTTATTGGCACCTTCTATGTGAAACACAGCACACTGTTCCTATGCAAATGGAAATAAATAGGTAGTTTTATGCCTCCTATGCCTATCATGAAGGCTACAAACTAAAAGTAACAAATTTAATTAATTATAGGCATACCTTGAAGATACTGTGGGTTTGGTTCCAGACTGCCACAATGTGTACACATAAAATAAATATCAGAGTGAAGTAAGTCACATAAGATTTCAGGCTTCTCAGTGCATATAAAATTTATGTTTACACTATATATACTGCAGTTCATTATGTGTGCCTAAAAATGTAAATGCCTTAATTAAAAACACTTTATTGCTAAAAAAAAAAAAGGCTAACAATCATCTGAGCTTTTGTCAAGTCTAATATTTTTGCTGGTGAAGGGTCTTGCCTTCCTTCACATCGATGGCTACTGACTCATCAGAATGATGGTTGCTGAATACTGCAGTGGTTGTGGCCATTTTAAAAATAAGACACTGTATGATTTAATAAAAAATTGTTAAGAGGAAAAAATAAAATAAGACACTGATGAAGCTGCCAAGTCACTTCTCTCCTTTTGTGAAAGATCATAAAAGATTTTGTACATAGACATGGAATGACGTTTGATGGCATTTACTCACAACAGAACTTCTTTCAAAAGTGGAGCCAGTCCTCTCAAACTCTGACCGCTTTATAAATTTACGTAATATTCTAAATTCTTCGTTGTCATTTCAACAGTGTTCACGGAATCTCCGACAGGAGTAGATTCCATCCAAATAACCACTTTGTTTGTTCATCCCTAGAGGGAACTCCTCATTCTTTCAAGTTTTATCATGAGATGGTATCAATTCAGCCACATTTCAGGCTTCACTTCTATGGCTAGCCCTCTTCAGTTTCATCCACATCTGTAGTTACTTTCTCCACCTTAGTCTTAAACTCCTGAAACTCATCCATGAGTTTTAGAATCAATTTCTTCCAAACTCCAGTAAACGTTAGTTTGACCTCCTTTCTTGAACCACAAATGTAATGATGTCTAGAATGGGGAATCCTTTCCAGAACGTCTTCAGTTTCCTTTGCCCAGATCTGTCAGAGGAATCACTTTCCATGGCAGCTCTAGCACTACAAAACGTATTGCTTAAATCATAAGACTTAAAAATCAAAATCACTCCGTGGCCCATGGGCTGCAAAGTGGATATTATGGTAGCAGGCATGAAATCAACATTCATCTTCTTATATATCCCCCTCAAAGCTCTTGAGTGGTCATGTGCATGGTAAACGAATAGTTAGTATTTGGAAAGGAATTTTATTATTATTATTATTATTTTAGCATTAAGTCTACACAGTGAGCTTAAAATATAAACCAATATAAATAGATATGCTGCCACCCAGGCTTTGTTGTTCCACTTATGAAACACAGGCAGATTTCACATAATTCTTTAGGACCCTACGAATTTTTAAACAGTAAACGAACACTGGCTTCAGGGTAAACTCACCAGCAGCCTTAGCTCCTCACCAGAGAGCCTTCCTGTCCTGTGAAGCTTTGAAGCTGGGCATTGACTTCTCTCATCTTGTAGACATGAAAGTCCTAGATGGTATTTTGTTCCAATACAAGACTGTTTTGTCAGTAATAAAAATCTGATCTCTATGTGGACATCTTCATCAATCATCCTGACTAGACCTTCTGGATACCTTCCTGAAGCTTCTACACTTTTTGCTTAACCCTGTACTTTATGTTAAGAGGATGATTTCTTTCCTTAAACGTTGTGAAGTAACCTCTACTAGCTTCAAATATTTCTTCTGCAGCTTCCTTCCTTCTCTCTCAGCCTTCATAAATTGAAAACACTTAGGGCCTTTCTCTAAATTAGGCTTTAGTTTAAGGAAATGCTGTGGCTGCTTTGATCTATCCAAATCGCCAAAACACTCTCCATATCAGCAATCAGGCTGTTTTCGCATTCTTATCATTCTTGTGTTCACTGGAGTAACACTTTCAATTTCCAAGAACTTTTTCTTTGCATTCACAACAACTAGGCTGTTGCAAAAGGTCTAGCTCTCTGGCTCTCTTGGCTTGCCGTGTGCCTTCCTCACTAAGCTTTATCATTTCTAGTTGCTGATTTAAAGGGAGAGAAGGTGGGCTTCTTCTTTTCAATTGAGCACTTAGAGACCATTGTAGGGTTGTTGATCAGACAGATATCTTTTTCCTTTTGCTTTTTTTTTAAAAATGTGGTTCAGAGAACAGGGTGGCCTAAGGATAAGGAGAGAGACTGGGGAACAGCTGGTCATTGGAACAGTAAGAACACATACAGTGTTTATCAATTAAGTTTGCTATCTTGTTTGGACATGATTTTTTGGCACCCCAAAACAATTGCAATACTGATATCCAAATCCCTGGTCACAGATCATGATAATAAATATAGTAATTATAAAAGAGTTAAAAATTGTATCAGAATTACCAAAATGTGACTCAGAGACCCCAAGTGAGTACATCCTGTTGGAAAAAAAAAAATGTGCTGATGCACTTGTTTGATTCAAAGTTGCCACAAACTTTCAATTTGTAGAAAATGCACTATCTGCAAAGAGCGATAAAGTGAAGGACCAAGAAGTGAAAGATGCCTGAATTTGAATACCACTATTATAAAAATGATAAAGAGGCAGTTCCATTTCACAATTTATATTGCAAATAAGGTGTATATTTCATGCCATGATCAAAAAACCCAACTGTAACCTGTCTACCAAAGTGAAAGCCAACTGGATTCCAAAGCCAAATTGATATGGCTGATCTTTTAAAAAGTTTTTGGCCGGTGCGTTGGATCGCACCTATAATCCTAGCACTCTAGGATGCTGAAGCAGATAGATTGGCTGCACTTAGGAGTTCAAGACTAGCATGAGCAAAAGTGAGATGTCTCTACTTAAAATAGAAAAAACAGAACAGCCAGGAGTTGGGGCAGTGCCTGTAGTCTCAGCTACTCAGAGGCTCAGGTAAGAGCACTGCTCAAGCTCAGGAGTTTGAAGTTGCTGTGAGTTATGCTGCCATAGCACTTGACCCAGGGCAACAGAATGAGACTCTTTTTCAAAAAACTAAAAGTAGAAATAAAAGAATTAAAAATTATTCATCTTAGGGCTTTGCTTAAATTAAGTGATCACACCTCCATAGGCAAAGAAAAAAAGCATTACCTACATAAGGTAAAAAGGAGATGGGGAATGTTTCATGCAAAGATTTTTTCACCTCATGGGACTTTTTGGATAAATTATGGGTAACATTGTAAGTTGCATGACATTGAACACTTAAGACTGAAACTGTAACAAAGTGGTTAACAGATTCCAACATTGTTTTGTCTACTGACTGAGTTGAAGTTGGAACTTTAAATGCACAGAAAATGTATTCTATGTTGTCAGTTTTTGTTGTTATTTTGGATGGTTTTGTTTTTTCCAGTTCAACTGTGATTGTCACAGGAAACCAAGTGAATGTTGAGTGATTCTTATTTTATTTTTTTTTGCAAACAATAGGCGTATGTCAAAAGGGAACATCTTCTTTTCTTCTATCAAAATGTTTAATCAGTGAAGAAAGCAGTTTAACTTTTAATAACTGTGCATATATTTTCCCCTAATCATGAAGGTGTTACTGACAAATAAAAATTGCATATGTTTAAGGTGTACAAGGTGGTAGTTTAATATACATTGTTACATTTTATCACAGTCAAATGAATTAGCTTGTTCATCACATCATAGAGATACCCAATTTTTCCACCCACAAAGCCAAATGGGGTGCTGAGACTCTCCTGTTTGTTTTTCCTAGGGTGGTAACTATATTTATATAATAAGCTATACATATCATTTATAGGTGTATATTATAGCATATAATTTATATAGTAACATTGATGGCTTATTTATATAATTTTAAGGATACATC